AAACACAGTTGTATTACATACATCTAGATATAAATTCATGCTGAATAATACACCAGTCCTGCCATAGATATGGTATCAATGAGGATAGGTTCAAATAAACTGTTCTGGTTAAAGTATAGCTGAGAGAGTTTCAACATAATAAAGAAAAACATTCTCACATATCTCACTCTCCCCACTGTTAGCACCAACTTTGCTCCATTTGAACCTTTAAAGTCGCTGGTATTTCTCAACACCTGTGTGAATCAGAGTCAGGAAACACAACCAGCTGCAGTGAGAGGAGGAGCTACAGTGGAAAGAGGAGAGCTTACACGTCACACTCAGGAAACGAAAGTTAAGTTAGTCAGAGAGGCAGCCACACTGCAGTCGAGACTAGTCTCCGTTTCTGTCTAAAGAAAATACAAACTGAGTTCATCAGATCTTTCTCAACAACACAGCAGAGTCTCTGTCAAACACTGGTGAGTACATCTGATTATATTTACACTTCCAACTAAATATGATATAAGTATGGTGTTGTTTGTCCTCAGGCCTACGGTTCAGCCCTCTGGATTTAACTAACCTGTAACTGAATCTCTGCGGTTAGGAGTTTAACCTCATTCCTGGTTTCCTGCCATTATTACTGTTTACTGATTACTTCCTACATCCTGCTTACTCTTTTTTGTAGAGGTGTGTCATATTAAAAGCTCACCACCAAAGAACCAGTTTGAGGTTTAAAATGTGAAGCAAATAGGTGTGTCACAAAGTACTGAGAGCTTTGTTATCAGTGTTATTCTTTAATATCAGTTGGTCTACACTAGCGCTAAGGTAGTTATCAATATTATATCATCATCTGGATATTAGACTAGATATAGTGTCAGGTTTTTCAGAGGTAGTAAAATTGCATAAGTGTAATTTCCTGGTTTTAAAGGCTGCATTACAGTAAAGTGATGTAACTTTCTTAAACTTGTTCAAACCATCTGCTTTTTCTGATTATCTATCAAACATGTAATTGTGTAAATATTTTGTGAACAAATAGTCAATCTACAATATTGTTAGAGATGTTGGGGGAAAAATGTTGTGATATGTGATATGTTCTCCATGTCGCCTAGCCGTAGTCTAAACGACAGGATAAAGACACATTCATTGCCGTTTAGCCATGGTAGCTATCTTGAACCTATTAAGTCTTGAACGGTAACGGTTGCTCAAGCTTGGCTTAGTGCAAGTCAAAACAAAAACATAAAACATTCAAAATTGACTGTCCAATATCAATCCAATGTCTTTCTTTTTCTGTAACTGTATTTTAAAGAAACTGTTCTTCCTTCCACACTACAGGTGTAGATATGGCTGCAGCTAGTTGTACACCATCTGAAGATCAGTTCCTCTGCTCCATCTGTCTGGATGTGTTCACTGATCCAGTCGCTTTACAATGTGGACACAACTTCTGTAAAGACTGCATCACTGAACACTGGGATAGAAGTGACAGGTGCCAGTGTCCCATGTGTAAAGAGGCTTTTAATACAAGACCAGATTTGAGAGTCAACACTTTCATCTCTGAGATGGTGGCTCAGTTCAGACGGTCGGCTCAACAGAAAGCCAGCAGCAGCAGCAGCAGCAGCAGCAGCTCAGAGCAACAAGTCTTCAAACCAGGAGAAGTTCCCTGTGACGTCTGCACTGAAACCAAACTGAAGGCCCTGAAGTCCTGCCTGGTGTGTCTGACCTCCTACTGTGAGACTCACCTGGAGCCTCATCTGACAATGTCAGGCCTGAAAAGACATCAGCTGATCGACCCTGTGGAGAACCTGGAAGACAGGATGTGTCTGAAGCACGATAAACCTCTGGAGCTGTTCTGTAAGACCGACCAGACATGTGTCTGCATGCTCTGCACTGTTTCAGACCACAAGATGCACAATGTGGTTCCTCTGAAAGAAGCATATGAAGGGGAGAAGGCTGAGCGTGAGACAGACATTCAGCAGATGATCCAGAAGAGACAACTGAAGATTGAGGAGATCAAACACTCAGTGGACCTCAGTAAGGAAGAAGCAGACAGAGAGATAGCAGAAGGTGGTAAGGTCTTCACTGCTCTGAAGGAGTCTGCTGAGAGAGGCCAGGCCAATCTCATCAACACGATCAAAGAGAAGCAGAAAACTACTGAAAACCAGGCGGAAGATTTCATCAAAGAGCTGGAACAGGAAATCTCTGAGCTGAAGAAGAGAAGCTCTGAGGTGGAGCAGGTCACACACTCTGAAGACCACCTCCATCTTCTCCAAAGATTCATGTCCCTTAAAGTTGCTCCACCCACCAAGGACTGGACAGAGGTCAGCATCCATTCATCACATGAGGGAACTGTGGTGAGAGCTGTGGTTCAGCTGGAGGAGACTTTCAGTAAAGAGATGAAGAAGCTGCTTGAAGCTGAACTGAAGAGGGTCCAGAAGTACGCAGTGGATGTGACTCTTGATCCTGATACAGCACATCCATATCTCATTCTTTCTGATGATGGAAAACAAGTGAGTGATGGTGATGTAAAGAAGAATCTCCCAGACAACCCAGAGAGATTTTCTGATTGTGATTGTGTTTTAGGAAAGCAAAGTTTCTCTTCAGGCAGATTTTACTTTGAGGTTCAAGTTAAAGGAAAGACAGAGTGGGATTTAGGAGTGGCCAGAGGGTCGATCAACAGGAAGGGAACGATCCCACTGAGCCCTCTGTGGGGTAACTGGACTATATGGCTGAGAAATGGAAATGAGTACAAAGCTCTTGATGGTCCTCCAGTCCTTCTCTCTCTGAAGTCTCAGCCTCAGAAGGTGGGGGTGTTTGTGGATTATGAGGAGGGTCTGGTCTCCTTTTATGACGTAGATGCAGCAGCTCTTATCTACTCCTTCACTGGCTGCTCCTTCACTGATAAACTCTTCCCATACTTCAGTCCCTGTGATAATGATGATGGTAAAAACTCTGCACCTCTGATCATCTCTCCTATCAAGTAAACTAATCACTTATCCTATATTGATTTATTTCCATTCAAGGTAATAAACAAACATATTTAGTGTCAAAGCTGTATAGCTTCCATCTTGTTTTCTACAGAATCTGTTTACTCCGGCACATTTTTTGTACACGTCATTGTTGAGATATGTTATGACATGTATCCTATTACTCAACACTGTAAATATCTTCCAGAAGAAATCACTGTTTTCTAATAATGTCAAATATGTCAAGCTGCTGTTGTTTGCAGCTCTTCTTGGAAAACAACCCAAAATCCAAGTTGTTGATAATTTTTCTCTTTGATGTCAAGCCAAAACAAATGTTTAATATTGCAAGAAATATGGCTCATATTAAGAGTAAGGCATTTTACAAGCTTGTATTGTGTACAGAATAGAGTATTCTTCATCGATGTATCAACATTAAAAGTTAACGGACAAAGGACATCAACAGAAAATATGCCAACAGAATGTTCTATTTTGTATTAGAAGTTGTTCAGTCAATCAATGGTAACATCTGTCTAAGAAAGCTGTAAATATGTGATTGTAAAATAAAAAAACTTATAAAAAAGTTATTGCTGTGTGATTTATGTCAATATTAAACAAATACAAAATCCTTGATTTAATTATGAATCTGACCTTTCAGCATTTTTATTTGTTCAAATGAGTTTCACCTTTTAACTTAAAATGCTCAGAATGTTTTCCTTCTTATATAAAAGCTTGTTTCTTTACCTCAAAGTTTTTTTTGATGATTAAAGCAGACAAGATATAAATATCAAGACAAATATGTGTTCATTTATATCAAGTTTCATTGGTTAAAGGGCAAAGACAACACAATCAAATGTGAAGTGTAAATCAAAGTAAGCAGGGTAGCGTTATATTATTATATGTAAACAAGCAAACATTTAAATAGTTAATTTAAAGATATTGTAAAAATAATGCTGGTTTTATTTGATCCATTATCAATCTATCAGCTGGTTGTACTTCAGTAACACCGGCGTCCATGTCCACCACTTCCTGGTGTTATGGCGCAGAGTGTCCACTGGATGGAGCACAACACAAAGGAGAGATGAGCATGGAGTCACTGTACTGCAAACCAAACACTGATATATGAGGAGACACGGTTTGTTACTCATGTACAGGATGACCTCTCATGTTGACCAAGGACAAAAGTTGTTTAAAATGGTGGTCTATTTAATAGTCCAACAATGGCCATACTTTATTTTTTGAACTTGTCCTTACTTGTTGAACAGTATAAAAACAGTTGCTGGATAAATATGTCAAAATGTTTCTGATAGAGATAACAACCGAGTGGATCTTTGACGTGATACAACAACAGTTTATATTTTGGATTAATCCTAAAAATGAGTTTAATTATATTTTGTAATTGTTTGCTTTCCAGGCACATCACAACACCAGACATCTAGTAAATCTAATAAAGGTCCATCTTATCTGAGTAGTCAATTCAAATAGCAGTAAAATACCACAATTCTCATTAGGTGATACGATACCACGGAAAATATAACTTCAAAAAGATAGAGCTGTTGTTAGGAAGTTCAGGTCATTATTCCCTTTTTAATATCCTACTTTTGCTCCAATACTCATTGTGAATGAAGAGAGCTTTGATGTATAATAGTGTAACTCAATGCGAGCCCTCCTCTGGTACCTGCAGTACTTTATAAAAACAAGTACCACTACGTTTTGGGGATTTTGGCATCAACTTGGTACAGAAGAATCAGTTCTCATGACATCCCTACTTATATCTATGTGCCCTTTTTACAATTGTCCAGTTATTTGTTTGGTCTGCTAATATTACACTCTACACAGCTCTGTGCTACCCCTCAAAACGTTCACTCAATAAATGAATTTGTCACGTACCACACACACCTCATTCTAAGCCAGGCGAATACTTGTAAGTCACCAAAAGCAAGTCCTAACAAGAAGAATACAATACTCTAAAGACCGGCAGGAAGGGGTAGAGAAATTCAGGAAAGAGGAGGGCTACAACGTCACAATCCAGAAATGAAAGTTAAGTTTTTCAGAGAGGCAGCCACACCGAAGTCGAGGCAAGTCTCTGTTTCTCTCACAGAAAATACAAACTGAATTCATCAGATCCTTCTCAACAACACAGCAGAGTTTCTAACTCACTGGTGAGTACAGCTGATTATATTTACCCTGTCAACAAGCAAGATTAACACAAAACTTAAGCTCTACTCAGGTGAAGGCTCTACTCTTAATGTAATACTTCGGAAAGTGTTAACAAGATAACTACGGCTATCTGTCCTCAGGGTAACTATACAGTAGCCCACTTTAACAGCTTCTGCTAGCTTCTTTCACAATCTCTCCGTGTCAGTTTTCGGTACTTTTAACCTTCAACTGAATCTTTGTGGTTGGGAGTTTAGCTTCACTCCTGCTTTCCTGCCTACGTACTACCTCCTAGATTTTGTCCAGCGGTTTCACATAAAAGTTGTCCCCAGGAGAACCGGCGGGAAGCTCTTTATACGAAGCAGGAAAAGGGAAATAAAAAATGTTGTCATGAAGCACAGCTTTGTTATCAGTGCTATTCTTAAATATAAAATGGTTTGCGCAACAGGGTGTGGACATAATCTGTTTGTTTCGCCAGAGTAGCATCAGTTAAGATAAGATGACTAAAGCCCCGGGGCCACACGAGGACGATAACGGTTGTATCTGCTACAGTTCACTATCATATAGACGGTTCGGCCACACGAGGACGATAACGGTTGCATCTGCTACAGTTCACTATCATATAGACGGTTCGGCCACACGAGGCCGACATGGAAACGCAGAAAACAATAACGGGTCCCAAGGTGGGTAGATCTGAAAACGAAACGCTCTGGGGGGCAAACGGCTCCGTGTTTACGCCTATACGATCATTTCCTGATAACGTTGAAGCAATAGCCCCGCCTCGCCCCACCCCACCTCTCCTGCTCAGAGATCAGCTGCTGGGCTGTCAGAAGAGGGGGAGGAAAAGAGAGGCTCCGGTTTTTATTCGTATATTATTATTATATAGAGTCGTTATTCATTTGTTTAAAAGCTCAATAAATAACAAAGAAGACATTTGACTGGCACTTTTCTAATTTTGTCCGGAAGATTTCAACTTTAACGGACATGTTGACCGGCGAACATTTTTTTTTAACTGAAACACTGCCGCACGGTCCCCTCGTCCCTTGGAAGAAGCGGAGAGGTGGGTGTTTTTCATCTGCTGGTGGACTAACCGGAGAGATTTACAGCAGGATTAAACACTTGCCTCGGGAGGGGAGAAAAGAGCCAGAGCGTCAACAGTGGAGAATAAACAGAAGGGCAACCATGGCAACCATGCGTGGGAAGTCTTCTTCGCTGCTTTTGTGGCTGGACTACAGCGCCACTTACAGGCCTGGCATATGTACTACAGCGTCTCCAGCGCTTTGGAGCGGTCTCGTGTGAACGGACACGTTTCTGGTGCCTGTTGCGTGTGGACAGAATACTTTTTTGATAACGATTGCGGCCCGTTTGCGTTATCGTCCTCGTGTGGCTCCAGCCTTAAAATGTTGCAGTTGCTTACAGCCTGGCATTGAGTAAGTCCAAAAAAAAAATGGTATGATTCAATATAACTCTGCCTAAGTTTATTTTTTCAAAAGAACATTAGTCATGCTTGTTTCTTTTTAAACAAATGATAAAAACACGTTTTGTTTTTTCTCTATTCTTTCACACTACAGGTGTTAATATGGCTGCTGCAAACTATCTGCAAGCTGAAGATCAGTTTCTCTGCTCCATCTGTCTGGATGTGTTCACTGATCCAGTCACAACATCATGTGGACACAACTTCTGTAAAACCTGCATCACTGAACACTGGGACAGAAGTGACTGGTGCCAGTGTCCAATGTGTAAAAAAGAGTTCTACACAAGACCTGAGCTGCACGTTAATACTTTCATCTCTGAGATGGTCGCTCAGTTCAGACAGTCAGCTCAACAGGAAGCCAGCAGCAGCAGCTCAGAGCAACAAGTCTTCAAACCAGGAGAAGTTCCCTGTGACGTCTGCACTGAAACCAAACTGAAGGCCCTGAAGTCCTGCCTGGTGTGTCTGACCTCCTACTGTGAGACTCACCTGGAGCCTCATCTGACAGCTTCAAGCCTGAAAAGACATCAGCTGATCGACCCTGTGGAGAACCTGGAAGACCGGATGTGTCCGAAGCACGATAAACCTCTGGAGCTGTTCTGTAAGACCGACCAGACATGTGTCTGCATGCTCTGCACTGTTTCAGAACACAAGATGCATGATGTGGTTCCTCTCAAAGAAGGATATGAAGGGAAGAAGGCCGCGCTTGATGTTCAAATTCAGCAGATGATCCAAAAGAGACAACAGAAAATTCAGGAGATCAAACACTCAGTCAACCTCAGTGAAAAAGAAGCAGACAGAGAGATAGTAGAAGGTGTTCAGGTCTTCACTGCTCTGATGGAGTCTGTTGAGAGAGGACTGAACAAACTCATGGATACGGTCAAAGAGAAGCAGAAAACAACTGAAAAACAGGCTGAAGGTTTTATCAAAGACCTAGAACAGGAAATCTCTGAGCTGAAGAAGAGAATCACTCTGATGGAGCGTCTCTCACACTCTGAAGACCACCTTGATCTTCTCCAAAGCTTTCCATCCTTGAAAGTTGCTCTACAAACCAAAGACTGGACAAATGTCAGCATCCGTCCATCATCACATGAGGGGACTGTGGTGAGAGCTGTGGTTCAGCTGGAGGAGACTTTCAGTAAAGAGATGAAGAAGCAGATTGAAGCTGAGCTGAAGAGGGTCCAGAGGTATGCAGTGAATGTGACTCTTGATCCTGATACAGCACATCCTGAACTCATCCTGTCTGATGATGGGAAACAAGTGAGTCATGGTGATGTAACAAAGAATCTCCCAAACAACAAAGAGAGATTTTCTTACTGTAATTGTGTTTTAGGAAAGCAGAGTTTCTCTTCAGGCAAATTTTACTTTGAGGTTCAAGTTAAAGGAAAGACCGAGTGGGATTTAGGAGTGGCCAGAGAGTCGATCAACAGGAAGGGAGATATCACACTGAGCCCAGTAGATGGTTTCTGGATTATATGGTTGACAAATGTAAATGAGTACGAAGCTCTTGATGATCCTCCAGTCCTTCTCTCTCTGAAGTCTCGGCCTCAGAAGGTGGGGGTGTTTGTGGATTATGAGGAGGGTCTGGTCTCCTTTTATGACGTAGAGACTGCAGCTCTTATCTACTCCTTTACTGGCTGCTCCTTCAACGGGAAAATCTACCCATACTTCAGCCCCGACTGTAATTACGGCGGTACAAACTCAGCACCTCTTGTCATCTCTACGCCGGTCAAGGTGAGAATCCGTATTACACGTTATCCATTGCACAGACTATAGTGATGTAATGACGAGAATATCTATTTAATTCCTTGGAAAAACATTTTTTTTCTTTATAGGTTCTCAGATTGCCGAAGATCAAGAGAATCCGAGGAACAAAGGAAAATGTAAGCTGCCGTTGAAATAGGGAATCTCCACACAGAAGAGCAAGTTTTCGCTGGCGAGTTCAAACCCAAAACCTTCTTTGTGTGAAAATGACAACCGCATCACCCTACCGCCCAGAGATAAAAATGTACCACAGTGGAAATTGAGTGGAAAAAGAAACGCTGCAAAATATCTTGATGTATAGCCATAGACTAGGGCTGCACGATATTGAAAAAAACGGACATTGCGGTTTTTTGTTCCCCTGCAATATATATTGCGTTTTTTTTAACCGGTTAAGCCCCAAGGTCCCGGCGGGTACTTTACTTTTTTTTTCACGACACTGTGTCTCAGGGGATCTTAATATTTAAGAACCTATTAATGTGTTATACCAGATTAACGGAAATAATCTCAGCTAACTGACGATACAAACCATTTTTACCAAAACAAAACACAAGTCGGGGCGGTGGTGGCGAAGTCGATAGGGACTTGGCTTGGTAACTGGAAGGTCACCAGTTCAAGTCCCGGCAAGACCAAGTGCTACCGAGGTGTCCCTGAGCAAGGCACCGTTCCCTACACTGCTCCCCGGGAGCCGTTCAAAATGGCAGCACACTGCTCCTAACACTAGGATGGGTCAAATGCAGAGAAACAATTTCCCCACGGGGATTAATAAAGTATATCATCAGTCTCATAAGAAGCATCTAAATGACCCCTGAGCGAAAAATGCTAACGGACTTTGGCACAGAACTCAAGATAAAAGTACCCTTATTACTTATCGTAGCTGCACATACAAGATATCCGATTAAAGCTGAGACTCCACAGATTATTTAGGTATATAGTATCATCACTGAGTCATCCGGACTCGCGACAGGGGAAGCAAACACAGACATCACAACACGTACCTTTACGGAGCAGCTGTCAATCTGATCAAAAGACTTGTTCAATGGCATTAAAACGAGAAAAAAACGCGGCTGAATCGGTTGATCCATAGGTTAATAATGTATCTGTATAAAACAATTATTTCATTTATAATCCATAATTCCATTTTTATGTAAAAATCGCAGAGCAAAAATTAACTGCTAATGGTAGCCACCAGAGTGTATGCAGCTTCCGGTTTTGGCTATGCGGCGTAGCCAAAACCGGAAGCTGCATACACTCTGGTGGCTACCATTAGCAGCTAACTTTTGTGCTCCGATTTTTACATAAAAATGGAATTATGGATTATAAACAATTGCTTCAAAGCCACAGATACATTATTAACCTATGGATCAACCGATTCAGCCGCGTTTTTTCTCGTTTTAATGCCATTGAACATGTCTTTTGATCAGATTGACAGCTACGGTGAGACAATCTCCCGTAAAAGCTCCGTAAAAGGTACGTGTTGTGATGTCTGTGTTTGCTTCCCCTGTCGCGAGATCGGATCGCTTAGATACTATACTTAAATAATCTGTGGAGTTTCAGCTTTAATCGGATATATTGTATGTGCAGTTTCGATAAGTAATAAGGGTATCTTTATTTTGAATTCTGTGCTAAAGTGCGTTAGCATTTTTTTTTTTAATGAATAAAACCGCACGTCCCTGCGGTGTGAATATCGCGCATGCGCATATCGCGGTTATCGCCATGACACGGTATATCGTTCAGCCCTACCATAGACAATATATTGCTGAATGTTTCATAAAGCTTCATTTAAGATTAAGGCCTATTTTTTGCCTATAATGTCTGCAGAGTACAGTATACGTGTCATTATTATGCATTCAAATGTATCGACACAGTTGTTTAATAGAACAGATACTGACAATATTTCCTATTTAGTTAATTACTGTGGCCAATTTTTGGGGGGATTTGTGAATATTGGTAAGGTGGTTGATGAGACAAAGAAATCCGTTTTATTTGTTGTAGTATTTTGATTCTGTTATAGTTTAATGTTGTGATCTTTAATATTTCAGTCCTCGTTGATTTGGCGAAACCGTTGGTTACTTGTGAACAAAGCAAGAGTGGTTTAATACAAGTGTAAGCTGCTTGAGCAACTGCTTAGTCAGAACTACAACAGAAGATCAGCTGCAGCAAAAATAGACCAGGAGCATAGCAATAGAGCAACAAAAGAGTCTCCGCTCATGTACACTGGCTAGGATGGCAGCATATTGTTTTAAGGAGCCTTGAAGAAAAAAGAAATTGGTGAAAGAGGGTGACAAAAGTTGTGTTTCAGTGGGATTCATTTAGACACATTGTGTGTAGGTTTAAGGTCTGTCGGTTGGGTAGAAATAATTTCCTTTTACAAATGTAATTCATTTACATTTTCTATGTTTACTGGCCTGTGCCACCCTCATCCTTGTGTACTCTTTTTGAACCAAAATGTGCTTTTTGTACAAGAACAGCTACTAAAATAATCGATAAACTCCTTTCCCATTGCTAAGTATGTGTTTCTGTTTTTATGTGGTGCGTCACGTTCAACGTCACAAACACAACTTCGAAGCAGGGTTCGTGAAAAGTGAAAATGTTCCGATGATTATTTCTTTGTTTATATGTGTTACTTATTCAGACCGTCTTTTAAATTCCTTAAACCAATATGGTGATTGTTCAAACAGTGGAAAGATATCAAAGACTTAGTGGGTTTTTTTCTCTGTTGCTTTTTAAAAAATAAATGTTTTTTACGATGATCAGTGAGGAGAGCATATTTGTTTTGTATGTTATGTTTCATAATTATAATCATGGTTTAAATCCCTGTTATAAAAAAAAAGTATAAATAGCCAGATGTTAATGGTTATTTTGTACAGTGTAAAAGGGGGTATTAGTGGGTATATGCAGGAATCCTGAAGTCAAATTTAATACCTTTTAAGACCTTTTTTAAGACCCTTTCCATACATTTTAAGACCTCATCGCAACTTCGAGTTCTAACCGGTTACATTGGCGACACACTTACTATATTGATTGTAAGATAGCACAACTAAACAGAGTGCAGACAGACTACTGAAGCCTCCTCTCCACATGAACTTCAACCTCTCTGTGAAGGTCAGGTTTAATGCAGTATGCTGCTTTGTTGCTTCTGTACTCTGTGCTCTTTCATTCCAGTAGAACTCCTCAGAAACCAGTAGAAACCAGTATTTGACCAATAAACAAAACAATTGACAAAACTTTGAACTATGAAATATTAAACTTTGGTGAGCTTCAGCATAATGCCATATAGGAGCTCCCTCACAAATACCATGGGATTAAATTGGACTGGGGCTGTCCGGGGCTAAGCCCGGCACATAGGACGATGCTCTGACGTCGTCACCCTCACACATTTGTCATATGTTTACAAAAAACGATATATATGTTAAGACTTGTCTCGTTCTTAATATAGACTATATTTAGGGTCGATATGTGTTGACCTTACTTTAAAATAGCAGATCTCTGTGACCGGATATAGTTTGGCTTAGACCCCGGCCCCACGAGGACGCATACAGTAAAACGCATGCGCAAAAAAGTATTCCGTTCACACACGCATTCGATTCATTAACGTGTCCGTTCACACTAGACCGCTGGAAATGCTGGAAACGCTGTAGTACATATGCCAGGCCTGTAAGTGGCGCTGCTGCCGCCAAAAAATACACCAAAAGCAGCGAAGAAGACGCTGGAGCATGGTTCTGTTTATTCTCCGCGGCGGACGGCGTGTTCTCCTGCTGTATATCTCTCAGGTAGTCCACCAGCAGATAACACCCCCCCCCCGCACAGAGCGGAGCAAGGCAACGAAGCTTAAAATAAGAAGCAGCATTTTATGGCACGCTATGCATGGGGCCACCTTGAAGGGGTTTCCCGACATGTTGTTTCAGTCAATTAAAGGGTGTTTCGTGTTGTCGTTGCTGTGGACCTTCTTAATACCTTGGAAAATGCCGTTTAATACTTTTTAATAGCCTTAATTTTCGCTAAATTGATTTATCAACTTTTAATACTTTTTAAGACCCCGCGGACACCCTGAAAAGGTGCTGTTAGTGGGTATTTTGTACAGTGGGAAAGGCGACATTAGAGGGTATTTTGTACAATGTAAACAGGGTGTTAGTGGGTATTTTGTACAGTGTAAAAGGGGGTGTTAGTGGGTATTTTGTACAGTGGGAAAGGGGGTGTTAGTGGCTATTTTGTACAGTGTAAAATGGGTGTTAGTGGGTATTTTGTACAGTGAGAAATGGGCTTTTCAACTCAAGTCTCCAAGCCAATAAAAAAAAGACCAGCATTCTTTCAATAAACCAAAGAAGAAACCTATTATTTTTCACTGCTAGTTATTTTTCTGTGATGCAGTGCCACGGTTGGAGCTAAGATGGTAAATATACCACAGCCTGATGTTAACAAGGAAAGCCGCTGCACTGAACTGCTGGTCCTGAAAGAAAAGAAGGGTGGGGAGTTGAGGCGTGGCAGCGTCGGGGACCCCCATAAATATCCCTGAGCAGGCAAAGTCTGTCAGAGCATCGGGGAATTACAGCAGCGTCAGCAAACCTGAACCCTGCCGCTCACATCTCTTCGTTTCAGGCCGTCAACCCAGACACCTCGCAGAATACACGGTTTGGTGAGGCTGAGACACCCGAGAGCTGCTGGTGTGACTTCTGCATCAAGGCAAAGTCAACTGCAGTAAGAAGAGACACCTGAGTGAACCGTTCCTGCGGTCACACAACAGGGTCGGGTACTGCTTAGAAAACCCAAGATTTGGTATCAACTTTTCAGGCAACAATGTTTCCTGGGAATCCACATGAGAGGCAGGTTTCTGAGTTTGGAGGGCAAAGACTGAACACAGGTCATAAATCTTAACCCCGCTCCTCCCTCTTTAGGGTCTCCCCCAGTCTTCCACACCTCTTTTAACAGCTCGTTAGGACGCAGTCCCCCCAAACCTCCTACCCACAAAAGTATCCGATACCAGGGACGCTTGATGTAATTTTGAGACCCAAGTTCAGCTTACACAACCATTTTCCTGAGTGTAAGCTTTAAAAAGTAGGTCCAAACATTATTTTCTAATTAAGTGTCAAGCTTTGCTCTGGAGTTGAGGGGGAAGGGGGGTCAGAGCAAAGCGACCAACTAATTAAAACTGGGATATTGTCGTGACTAAAAATAAGCAAGGTTCTCCCAGCAGCCCTGACACTGACCTTTACAGAGGGATGAGGCATTTTTAGCCTCACAGTGTTGGGAGTCTGGGTCAGACTGCCAACAGAGTTCTGCAGAGGAAGGTGCAGCATGTGGGGATGTTCACATCCATCACCCACCACCATCGAAACGCTAAATAAGTGTGTCTGTTTCCACTGAGAAATCCCCACCAAAAAGTGCAGACCAGGGTAAATGTTTTGACCTTTTAATTTCTGTTTGTATTGCGTCTGTGGCATCAACTATCAATACTTTGTTTTCTACAGCGGATTGATAATATTACACACCGA